CCCCCTTTTTATTTTTTCAATCTCTCACTCGTCTTGCCAAAGATACAGGTTCGTTTCTCTTTTTCCTTGTTTGATCTACCCTTTGAGAATTTTGTACATAGAGAGTGTAAGTAATAATAGACTGAGTGGTGATCAGGGGCAACGCAATCCTTCTTAATAAAGTCTTCAATCAGCTTTCTTTCATCATCTCTACTCAATCTTCTATTATATCCTTTTACAGTACCTCGAATCATAAAGTATCGCGTCAAGTCTATGATCTCATAATCAAATTACATTGCTTACAAACTGTTGTTGATTCTTCTAGCAAGAGAGACTCGTTCTCTAGAGAAGTGGTATGATATTCTCTCAACAATTCCCACTTTCATCACTTTTAATAAATAGCCGATCTCAGTCTTTTCAGTAACGGCTCTTAGGACAGAATCTCTCATCTGATCAAAGAAAGGTTGCAAGAGCTCAAGCTCATCCAAGGTAGAGAGGTTCCTATCAGAAATCCGAAGAGCTCCTTCTATCTTGACTATTCTTCCTTCCAGCACAATCCCAAACGTTAACTGTTCAACCAAGCTGCGCATTCTTAACCATCATAGATAACATCTGAAAGATAAATCTCAGGATGAACAAGATCATGGATTTCGAATCTGTGCTCAAAGGTACTCCAAAGCAGGGATTTTATCATCACAGTAGAGTCTTTCTCTCTTGCTCTACCAACCTCAGCAATAGTTTCGAGCAGAGGCATCCAATCTCTCCTGTCGTCGAACCCATCAGCAATTAAGAACCCAGAGAGTTTCTCAAACTGGCTTAATCCCACTCCCCATGTCACTTTCCTTTTAACTTTTTTTGTCACTCTTTTGTTCGCTCGAGACTGATATACGTCCCCTTCAGACACTCCACGTAGTCAACTTCCTCCTCTAGACAGACTGAGGCGTAAACCCTCACGTCCAGACTGCCTGAGTTCAGGAACTTGACCACAGGGATGTGAAACGTTATATGTCCTCTCCCACAAGTCGTATGTCTAAGAATTACGAAAGGATTATCATACCCCGTCACCTCATAAAGTTTGCCTCTCACAATAGTTATCCTTGCTACTGAGAGTATTCTTCTTGAGCTCTCTTCACCTTCCATACAAAATCTATCATGGTTGACCAATTGTCCCTTGGAAAGGTGAACCCTTCAACAGGTGCGGATGGTATTCCAACGAAAGGTCTGACATAGGTACTCCAAGAGAAATTTTCCCCTTCCCGTTCTAGCCTTTTTTTCTCATCATACACGATAACCGATGCTCGTTGCCAGCATGAACATTTTGTACACTCTTCAAATATTTGTCTTGGTACGTAGATTCCAACATCATTATTATCCTGATCAATAAAATAACAGACACACTTTCCTACTCCCGTTTCGGATTCTTTAGCGCCTCATATCTCACGATCTCATAGGGAATCACGACTCTCCTCGTTATAGAATGAAGAGAATTTAACTGTTTATCTGATTCAACTTTACTCAACCTCCCATATCCCCTTATCAATTTAAACCAGGACTTCTTTTTTGGAGGTATATAGAGCTGGCTTAATTGATTCCTCGGTCTCTTTCCACTCTCAGTGCAAGGTCAACCACCGCAGACCAATTATCTTTTGACAAGTTCTTATCAGGTAAGGGAGGAGCTGAAAATCCCTAAAAGACAGTAAATCGAGTAGATCCAATGAAGCATTTATTTTCCTTTTCAAGTCTCTCTTTATCTTTCAGTAGAACCTCTTCAACAAATCCCCAACATCTCCCATACACTGAGTAAGTGCTTCTTTCTTTTGGAACATAAATTCCCACATCATACGTATCCAGGTCTATGAAATAAAACGTCAGTACATAGAATCGTTCCTACTCCCATCCACTCTTGACCATCTCATATTTGACAACCTCATATGGGAACACCTCTCTCTTACTTAGGGTATTCAGTGATCTCAGGAGACAATCAACCTTCTCTTGGCTTGGGCCTGTACCTCTGTCAAATTTCGACCTTCTCTGTTTGATTTATTTTGCCGAAGTCTTTTTAATTCTCATGACCACCAGTTCCTCTCTCCCATTTCAGTACCATACTAATAATTGGTAGCCAATTAGTCCCATCACAGTAGCTGTCAGGGATAGGAGGGATCAAAACAGTCTCATAAGTTACTGACATTAGACCCCATTCCACTTTCTCCTTTTGCTTGATTAGATATGCTTTCTCATCATAAAGAGATTGGATTGCGATTCCTCATAGCCAATTAAAAACCTCACCATTATCACAGTCTCTTTGTTGACATAAGGACGGATATCATAGATATCTCCCTCCAAAAAGCGAGACAACACTACGCTAATGGCCGAATTGTCAGAGCAGTAGACCCAACAATGCTCATACTGATAATGGAATATCCCTTTAGCGGTTACTTCCGATAGTTCTTTTAATGCATCAGTAGTTAACATTCTTGATGAAGTCTCTGAGTTCCTGACTCTTTTTTTCCTTCTTAGTACTTCAAGGACATCATAAGCTCATAAGGCATACCTGAGATCAAGCCTGATTCTCCTCAATAGTAATATCAATCTCCTTCTCCATTCTAGTGTGGTAACTCACACAACGAAAGATAAGACTAAGTTAGCAACTAGGTTTTCCAATAGAATAATGACTCCAGGAAGATTGCAAAATTAGTCTGAAAATTCATAAATTGTCAACAGTTCTCAAGGCCTAATCAAAGCTCAAAGCCGTTTGCAGACCCAGACTTGTTCCGGACACGAAAATTTTTCATGTCCCCGACAACGGCGCCATTTTTGTTGCACTTTTTCCAGTCGGACCCCTTCAGGCGATCAGAAAGCCAACAAACTCACGCAAGGTTTGGATGATGATTGCAATAAATAAAATAAATTAATTAATTAATGCAAATCCCTTCCTGTTGTATGCGTCCGACTTCGACCGAGACCCTTCAATTGTGGTCTTCGTCGGTCCTCGGTCTTAAAAATCTTTTATTTTGATTCAGAACAACAAAGAATCATGCAAATAATAATCATGGAACTTTGGTGTGTCATGCATGTGTCAGTTTTGTCGATTCACTAATTCTGAGAACTGTGAAAGAATCATCAAAGAATGCAATCATCAAGCAAAGCATTAGACTCTATGAAAATTGACAAACGTTTTTCCAGTGTCTATAACTTTGCTGAATCCTGAACATAACCCGAAACCATTTTTCGTCTGATCACGACTCTGAGCATTGGTTACCGTAGTCTCGGCCCAAGCACAATACTGAGACATTAGCCGAAGCAGATTTCATTCAAGCGTAACACTCAAACACAGAAGCGATTTTGTCATTCCACGAAGTAGCTCATGTCATGTTACGAGGACCATTCGTAATAACGAGAAATGGGCAGTGGGTAACATCTAATCACCGTCTATTAGAAATTTGACCAACAGATAAGTGACTCTCCTCTGTACGCACCGTTTCTTGCGCATCAAACCGATAATCAATAACAAAGATAGCAGCCCGCTCATTCATCATGTCACCCTCAATTTTTACTAGTATTTGTACCCATCATCTCTTTGTTACTACCAGTCTTTGCACTCTCACACTCTATCTGAAGACCATCTGGCGGGAGCGTAGTTAGCATTTCCCCATCAAGGAGTGCTACTAAGCTCGCCTGTTTTGATCTAGTCGGCTAGATCATGAAAGGGTGCATGAGTATTAGGTACAACAACACATAAGAAGGCACTAAAGTAGAGAGACAAAGCGAGGACAACCGCACAAGGTTGGCGTCATTAAAAACGTTTTGCATACCCATTGGTTCGACCATGTATCCCAATCAGCCGCGAAATGTCTCCACCTTCCAAACGAGACCATACTCTGTCCGTCTTACCTTACTAATATTGAAACGTCAGAACACTGAAATGGTGAGGACTTACCTTACTAATATTGATACATAAGACTGACCCTCTATGATGGATACCACAAAGTTCACACTCAACGCGTTATTCCGAGTCCGCTGGGCTACTTACTCGAAGCAGATCAAATAAATAACACAATTGTAACAGGCCAGTGCTTTAATTTGCAATATTGGCTCGAATAGGTGCAACTCTCACTCTGCCTGCAGTGACCTTACTAATTCCTCGTTGAGTCAACTCCTCCGCAAGGGTGAGAATGGCAGAAATAAAATTCACAATCCAGAAAATGCCAAGGAGCTTAGCACGATTGGCGCTATATGCGCTCACACACGGGAGCTGGAGGACGGAAATCTGGTTTCCTCTCAAAGTGTATGCGGGTGGTACCCTAGTGGCTCGTTCTCCTGCTTCGTCACACGTGAGTCGAGTTAGTGCGCGCAGGGAGAACAGGCCGAGTCCGTGAATCAGGTGACGTCAACCCACGCAAGCGTGCTCAGTCCCCCACTCGGCGCCCTCGTGCTAAAGCGATGACATCAACTAAACTGCCTTCTCACACGGATTCCCCTACTCAAACCTGAATTCCCCTTTTCCTCCGTCCAACCACAATGTTTGCTCACTTCCTGCAGTCGCCTTGCAACCTCGATCGTCGCAAGCTGACCCAGACCAAGAGTCAATGTCATCAATTGTGATCCGCATGCACGCCACCTGCAAGCGACTTGTGCCATTCCGACTTCCTTTTTCCATGCACACTGGACGAGGCGGCGTTCTTACCATCCTAGCCCTCTTTCGGACTAACCGCCCCTGTCAGTGGCGTCGTGTCACGAGAGATGACGTCAATTGTGATAAGCAAGCTCACATCTTGCACACCTCCCTCTTTCTCGTAACCACTCGCCCTTCCATTCTCTCGCCTTCTCGTGTTGACCCTCACGTCCTGCAACCTAGTGACCCTGGCCCCTTTCCTATTCACTTCTCTGACATATAGAGCTTCCCCACTCACACGAGGGCCAACACGACATTTCGTTGATCAAGCACCGACTGATATGAGCGGGCACTCATACCCTCTTTCTTTCTTCTACCTGTTTGAGAGGATTGCAGGGGTGGACTCCGCTCTGTGGACTAACATTTACTTGGGCATGGTAGACGAGGTCGTGGACTGGTCGAGGGCGCGTGCATGAAAAAAACCAATGGTTTTCATGCGCTCTTAGAGCCAAGTCCGTCCAATCGTGATTGACTCTCCCTCGCTCTCGGTCTTCACATGTGTTCCCTCTCCCTAATTTCTTACACGCAGAAGTTAAGTCGATGTCAGCGTCCTGAGCATGCCTGCTGTACTCGCCCTCACACGGGGCCGCCTCACTCACTTGTAACTGCCTCTTGCCGTCTTACTGCTGACGCGAACTGGCCTCCGGGCCGTCCTCTACGGACTCGGTCGGCGGATGCTCTCTCCGCCACTACTCCAGCCCGTGGAAAGACCTGGTCTGCGCATCGCTGGCCTCGGACTCTGCCTCGGAGTCATGGTCCAGTTCCTGCTGTTCCCTCTCGGTCGTGCTCGTGGAGGTCTCCTCTTCATGGTAAGTAACCATTACTTTTAAGCTCGCAATCACTCCATCCCTTCTAAACCTCGGTTCAGCTCGGTCACGAGCCTCCGTAATTACACCCTGAACCTTTACATTCTTCCTCATCTCCTGCTCTTTCCCTCCGTAGACATTAATTTTTAGCTTGTCCATCATGTCACTTTTACTATAGCTCAAGCAGGCATCCACTGTAGCTCCCTCTTCAGACATAGGCTCCCAACTCCAGTAGAACCTCAAATGCCTTGGCCTATAGCCAAAAAGGTCATTGCTACGTGCCATAGCCGCCCGCTTGATGAGTTGAGATCGGTGCTCTGCACTAGCGCACGCAAACTGCCCACTTCACTCGAGGGCCGAGACCGAGATGTCCCAGAATAGCCGCAGTCTAACGCCCTGAGCACTAGCAGGCTGACTACCACACACCCCCTTCGCCATTTACCTCTCACGCCTCAGCTTGCCAGTACACAGCGAGGCAAAGTCACCCATACACTCGCAGCCTGAAACTCGACTCCCCCTTTCTTTTATAGGATCGCTTCCTACCACGGTCCCTGAGTTCTAAATGCGGGTACTTTTCAGACCAAGTATTCTAATCTCCTATGAATCTTGAATTAGTGATTTATGATGATTTTACCAAGAAAGGAAAATGCGAAGCAGGATATAAAACAATCGTGTCTCCCTTTTTGAAGTGACTGCAGACTTTATGCTATGGTCCCATAACGGGATCCCAACGGCGAACTCTTCCTTTTCAAAACATACCGTTGGCCCACCTCTATTGGGTACCCGTGTCCGATGGCAAGGAGGGGGCTTATGACCTTTCCTTGGAGGGTGATAAGCCTCCTACCAATGCGGTTGTGGTTCGCCCCTCTTTTAGGGTCCCACTGCGTGGCGCTCAACCGGACAGTTCATCCACAAACGATATACGAGGGGTTGGCCAGCTTAGGCCGTTAGGCCGTAGATCACAGTTTGAGCTCGGAATTCGAACCGTTGGCCTTCCCGCAAAATGACAGGCCGAAAGGAAAACCGAGTCTGATAATCGTGCAAAAAGAAAAACTAAATAATAATAATAATAATAATAATAATAATAATAATAATATCGAGAGGAGAAGAGAGTTATGGCATCATAATTACCCCGAACTAAGACAGGAACTCAGACCATGGCATAAATTCAGCGCTTAGGTTTTCTTTTCTTTTCCCATATTTCCTTTTCCTTTGCTTCTCTTTTCTTGGTTCTCTTCATTTTGACAACAATATCTGTCCCGTGCACCTAACCCATAACCTGGCAGAGGGACACTCGACGCCCAGTAGAACAGACCGTATCCGTCCCTCTACCTTCGCGTCCCTGCGCGAACCCGACGGCTACCACGACCACAGGCCGGTAGTGCTCTGCTGTATAGTAGGGCGCCGAGCCTGCGTGGACTAAAAGAAAGCCCAGTGGCGCCCCCTTTTGCTAGGGAGGGTGCCAACTCGACCGGTCCATAATAGGGTACTATTTAGATATACAAGGAATGTCACATAGGCTCAGAAACAACCCGATGAGTAGTGGGCACCCGAGCAAGGAACGAGTACTGAGTAAGAGCCTGGCACACAGAGGAGAGTCGGGACACCACGCCCTCCGACACCGTGTCGTTTGGCATGTGTCAAGAACAAACCCGCGCGCAATATTGCCACAGCCGAGTGAGTGAACTTCACTGACAATGATCATTTTCTCGCCGTAACCACCTGTCTTGTCTCTCTCCCCCCGATGGTAGCTGACCTTCGTATCTTGCTCTCTCCTTTTGCAAGCGTGCTGCTCTCGCATATACAGCCCAGTCTCTTTTTCGCGTGAATCCCACATGCGCGATGTCTTGCTGCCTGTTCGCTCGCCGGAGCGAGTCGGCCTCAGGACCGCTCTCCACTGGGTCTGTCCGTGGGTGGTCCCGTCGCCAATGCTCTAGCCCATGCCACGATCGTGTCTCAGCCTCGCTCATCTTGCTCTCTGCCCCTGAGTCCTTGTCCAAATGGGTATGTTCCCGGTCCACTGTATCTGTAGAGGTCTCGGCTTCATGATAAGCAATAGTCACCTGCATCTCCGTTGTCACACCATCCCTCATGCAGTGTCGCTTAGCGAGGTCTTTAGCCTCAGTAATAGCTGCTTGCAGCTTCGACTTAGCCCTCATCTCCTCCTCCTTAGCTCCCTCCACATTAATTTTCAGCTTTGCCACGTCTCCTCCATCGTAGTTCAACATGGTCGTGATCCACGGACGCTCTCCAGACATCGGCCTCCAGCGCGTCAGGAGGTCCCAGCAGTCCGGTCTATAGCCGTGTAAGGCCATGACCACACCCTCGAAAGGACCAACACTTGGTACCCAGCGCGCTGTCGGACCAAATACCCTTACAAGTGTATTTGGCCATGCTTTTGCGTTTGAGATGACGGCGGCGTCGGCTGCCATGACGGGGCCAGTTTGGGATGGAAAGGGTGTGCGCGCTTTGGCGTGACACTTGAAACGATTTCCTCGGCCATTAAGGCCGGGGCGAATCGGTGAGAAAAATTTCGAGAGTATGCGCGCGCGCTGTTAAGGCACGCGTTGTGATGGTTAGGATTTGTAGTAATACTCTCCGACCAAAAAGGTCCAAGGGTTGATTGGGTTGGTGTTGTGTCGCGTAGATCTACGACACACACTGAGACTTGGACCTGTACCTGTCTACCTACCAGTACTGGCCCTCTAAAAATACTAACGCTTTGTCTTCTTCTACTCGGCCTCGGGTACCCGACACATCTACCTTAGTATGGTACCGGCCTACCCGCCACTTGAGTGTTTTCCCCGCCACGACCCTCAATGTCGCGACCACGACTAAGTACCGGCCCTTTGGGCCTTCCAATTAACCAAGTACCCTGGCGAGTCACACATACATTCAGGCCGACAAGCACTCAGACACGGATGCAGGCCGGCAAGTGTGCACACGCGCAGACTTAGAAACGGGCTCAAGCCACGTAGCGGACTGAGCCCCACCTCAACATATACCTGAGCTGCTCCTCTTCTAACCAAAGTAGGAGCTAGCTCAGTGGGTTTCGGTGCGGATTGGGAATCAGATAACTTGGGGATCGAATCCATCCGACCCCGAGCTAGCTCCTTTTTGCAAGGAGCCCAACTTTAGCCCCGCATTCGGCCGACAGGGACTTGAACCCGTGACCTTGAAATCGAAGTTAGTTATAGTTAGTAGTTATAGTTAGCCTCGTTTGAAAACGAGGGTCCGACACTTGGAGCGACAGGGTAGTTAACCGTTAGTTTATTTTCTTTTTGTTTTCTTTTAATTATTTTTATTTATCTTTTCCGATTAAATTCTTTCTTTTATTATTTTTATTTTTATTTTTTATTTTCCTTTTGACCCCTATTTATTTTGGATAGTTTGTTTTGATGAATCTGTCGCGGGTTTCGCAACAGATTCATCAAAAAGTACCACTGGTACTATACTGATCTCGACTTTGAGAAGTAGCTCGGTGGAAGTCGCAAGCTTCGTGGGGAGTAACGACGGGGGGAGAAAGACCGCAAGAAGTGAGCGATGAGAGGAGAATGAAGCGTGATGCAGCTAGGGAGACCGCACGGTAAGAAAGAAAGGGATGGCAGCCAAAGAGAAAAGGGGAGCGATGCGAGAAGAGAGCAGAGTGCGGGAAAGAAGAGCGGGACAGGGCTGATAACGGCTCGAGGAGATAGCGCACGCAGGCAGAAAGGGAGACGGTCGCATGGAAGAAGGGGTCACGCGAGGAAGGTAATAAGAGAGATAGTGGAAGGATTAATAGTAGGAGAAGGAAGAAGAAGAAAAGGAAGAAGAAGCCGAAGGAAGAAGGAGAAAAGGGAGGAGAAGAAGAAGAAGGAGAAAAAGAAGAAGGAGGAGGAGAAGGAAGATGAGGAAGAAGAGAGGAGGGGAGAGGGATACGTACCTGGCCTACATCGGTTGCTGACCGTATGCGAGGCTGGAGACTTGCGGGATGTGACAAGCATCCGCGGGGCATCGGGAGGATAGGCCGACATCACCAACTTGTTGAACTGTGCACTTGTGTCCTCCGTGTCGTGGAGTTGGCATGCGACACAACGTGAAGGATCGAGTTACGGGGAGAGGGCACATCGAGCTATGTCGGAGAGCTATAACGACGACGTGAGAGAGAGAGCAGGTAAGTCTACAAACACACAAATGAACCTCAAGCTACTCATCGATAAGATGAGCGAACTGCTATTACTACCTCGTGTATGTGTGAAAGTGTGCGTGTATACGGTTGTATATGTGTGAGAATGTTTGTAGGCGACCTTGCTCTACTTTCGTCAATAAGATGAACAAAACTAAATGAATCTACCACTAGAATATGGAGAGATGCACTAACTATACTCGTATCAACAGGATGAACAAAATAAAACGAATCTAACACTACAACCAAGATTTGAACAGCGGAACATCAAGGTAAGTGTCGGGATATCACCGCCTACCTACTTAGTACAAAACACAAGATTGAACAATCCTACAACCAAGATTTGAACAGCGGAACAAC